CTTGGTCAGGCACCCCAAGCTCAAGGGCACCTCGGCAGTGCCCAGGAGGTGAACTGGCACCTCTCCTGCCACCAGTTAACTCTCCATATTTGGTCTGGATGGGGACTCGAACAGGTGACCCTCCAGTTCCCTAACCAAGTCCCTATGGACTGAGCTACTGTCGCCCATAGCACATAGCACTGGAGCTACAGAGGTTTAAAGGTTTGCAGCACAGGACACAAAACTATAACATGAGTATAAAAGTATAAAGTAGGCCTCAATCCATTGTAGTTTGGAACAATTAAAAATCTTTGTGGGGGGGAGTTAAAAGTGGTTTTCCATGGCTTTTCAAATGAATCTAGTGCTGGAAAATGATTTCAATCTTTTTATTTATTTAGGCTGTTAATCTTATTTATGTATATAGCATCAACAGAGAGGCCGGGGGAGGGAAGGAGAGACACTTTGTCCATATTATATATGTCTCTTGTATATGAAACGTTGTTGTCACTGCATTTTTTTTAAAACACATCTGTCTCCTGCATCCAGGCGCTGTCTAAATGTCACACATTAGACTACAACTACCAAGAGGAATGGCGATGTGCTATGATCTACCTTACACACAAACTAACAAACAAACGCTCATCTGACATAATCAAGCAGTTCTGTTTCCCACACATGCAGCACAGCGCTGTACTGTACATACTGTATGCTGCTGCGGTTGTTTCATTCATCTCACAGACTGATTTAGCATAGCGTGTGCAACATATAAACCAATGTCAGACTGTAGACTAATTAAGAGACAAATTAGACAGAGTAGCAGCTCTGTGTCTCTCTTGGTGTTGGTGGAGAACTTGTGAGTGAGTGAGTAGAGCGGAGCTGTGTGGAGAGTGTGAGAGAGGAGAGATGCACACTGGTATGTATGTAATGTAACGCAACTTGACCCTATATCAATATATACGGTATTATCTAAATTTATATCTTGCTTGAAAATATATTGATATATTGTAGCATAGTCGTTATATCGCCCAGCCCTACATTGGGCCTGTAGAGCAGGTGCACTAGAGACTAGAGACAGCCACAGAGCACAGTCGAGCTCAGCTGAGCATGGTCTAGTGGGCAACTTCTGCCAGTCGAGCGGCTGGCTCCCAGTTTAGCGCTCAGCTAACTTAAATTGGGATAAAATAATTTAATCTTGCATCTCTTTTAGATTTTCAAAATGTCAGAAACTGAACATTTTTTGGCCTCACATCTCCATCCCCTGTAGTCGTCCTACTCCACATATGTAACTAATGCAGCGGTCAAATAAAATAAGATTGAATGTTACCCTAAAACATGGGTGTCTGTAGGTAAAGAACAATTGTAGACCATATGGGACTGACGGTAAAAGTTAATCATGATAAATAGGTTGTGATTGAGGAGCTATCAAATCAATCCTAAAGACAGTATATTGAGCCAAAAGAGCCCGGATAATGAGAACAAGAGCTTTTAGCCCAAAGCTGGCAATCAAATAAGTGAGTATTTGGCAGGTGAAGTAGGCGAATTACCTCAAGAAGATCCCACTGGGCTACATATGAGCTCTGCAAACTTATGAGTATTGGACTAAGCTGTTCTGCTTTTTCTATTCTCTTTAATTCAAAGTGACTGAATGGGTACAAAAAGACTTTACTACTGCCAAAATATTGCCCACATCCCTCTTTTTCTGCTTCTCCTTCTGTGAGAGTATATGATAATGAATCCTTGTGCAAGTGTGTTACACAAATATCATTGATGGCCCTCTATGAGTGAGGAAAAGATGTAGTTTGCAAAGTCAAGGAAACATTAATGCTTATAACTGGTGAAGTATGGCTCAAGGCTGTCAGAGATTCATTGCCTTACCTTTTCGGGGCTTCTAGGAGTTCACCTAGCTCCTCATATTCCATGTGAAAGACACTGGAGAAGGAGTTCTGCAAGAAGAATACAAATAAGTTCATTTGTCTGAGACAGACTGAGTGATGTGGCTAAGACCTGCTGGGGGGTCAACACGTGCTTGCCTATTAGGATCAGATAGCAACACATGAATAAATACAGGTTGGTTAAGTCTAGATTCTCCTCATCCATGCTTTGCTGCAGGTCTGTGTGTTTTCTGGCCATATCAACTTCCTCATTCCTCCCAATTAAGCCATTATTGCTAAACCTAACATCCCAGTAGCACAAGTAAAGCAGTGGTACAGCGCACACAGCCTAAAACACATCTCAGAGGATGAAAAAAGGGGACGTTGATCTATTATCCATTAAGACTTGCCAGAAGGAGAGTTTATTTTGACATTCCAGCGCTCCTTTGCCTTTCCCCACCTTATAGGGACTTGTTTTCTCTCGACCTGCACTCCCAAACCCTTGCAAAGGATTCTTTTTCCATTTTTAAGAGGTGGGGACAGGATGTTAAAAGATGGACAAGGCTTCTTGGTTTTGGAAAAATTTGCCCCCCTACCCTTGCATGCACATACACACACCTTCACTCTATGGCACGAGGTCACCCTGCTCTATCTAGGTGAGGGTAATAAAGCTGTTTTAAACAGAAAAGAGATCTGGCATTGTTATGACATTTATTGGGGTCTCTGGCAAGTGGGGAAGTTTATAACAGGATGACACAAGATAATGGAATTCTTTTCTTGCATGCAGGAATATTGAAATAAATCAGGCTTGTCTTTTTGTATTCTTCAGAAACATCAGTCAAAGTTTACATGTGAAGGAAGGACAAAAGAATGGTTCCTTGGTCACATCCCAGAGGGTTTTCACATGCAGGTATCAGCATCAGTTGGAGATAGATCAATCCCATGCAGTCTGCTCACATTGTATAAAACTGCAGAGCAATCATTAATTGTAAAGGGGCTGGAAGAGCGCAGCTTGGGAAAGGTTGAGTGATCCAACTCCAGACGGTCACCATCATAAATTGACTTCCTGTCAAATTTGTAGCTCAAAATCATGTGCTCATCATTAAGCGTGTCAATTGAGTTCTCCTGGTCGCAGGATGCTCTTCTAGAGAAGCCTTATTTTTTCTCATTTTTTTCCATAATCTCAGCCATGTTGCATTTAGGATGGAGTCAGAGGTACTTTATGTTTTTGTCCTTACTTTAGTAACAGAGGTTCAATGGAGAAGACAAGGATGTTTTACGCAACTGATTTTATCTCAAGGCAACCTTAAGGAAGATGCTTTGTGCAACTGCCCCTGACCTCACCTGAGCACTGTGGGGGTACAAGCACATGAACGTCCCAAACATAGAAAATAAGAAGAATACTAGAATTAACGTCTTGCTACTATATGCATCCACAAACACGTCAAGTTGCAGTTACAGTAATAATTTTACTCCATCTCAGTCTCACCAAGCATTTAATTTGTGGAAGGATAAAGGGCTGACAACCATTGTAGATCTGTACATTGCTGAGAGAAACTTTCTCTCTTCCTCAAACCCATTTATGTTATTTAAAAGACAGACATTTTGTTAAAAATCTTTGAAAACTGACCAAAGGAACATTCTCTTTATGTTTTGATGAAACATCACCCTGGCTCTAAACATCTTGTCTCAAAATTTGTGTCATTGTTTCCTAACATGAGTGTCGTCTCATTAAACCACATCAAATCTGTGTGGGAGTCAGATTGGTGTAGAGTTGACTGAGGAGGTGTGGAAGGAGGGGATGGAGAGGATCTATCTAAGCTAATTAATGCTAGACTGCAGCTGATTCAGTTTAAAGTCATGCATAATTTACATTATTCCAAAGAAAAGATAAATAAAATGTATCCTAACTTATCTGATATCTGTGACCGATGTAATTTCGCAACAGGTACTCTAGGTCATACTTTGTGGTTTTGTCCTAAAATTGTTCCTTTTTTCTCTATTTTTTCTCTCTCTTTTTCTCTCATAGGATGAACGCAAGGTCTCATATACCTTGGCCTGTGAACCCCCAAAACTATTCAGTTCAGAAGTTCCCTCTACAGGTTTTTGAGATATTGCGTTCAAGAGAATGGGACAGACAACTCAAACACATAAAGCCTTCAGCCATGGTGATTGCCAGCACTGAGGCATAATTAGAGAATCCAGGCAGAGCCTCTGCACAAAAATACACCGCCACACACTTCTAATGGGTCAAAGGTGATAACTGAGGGGCATTACTTCTGTTTATACATTGTTTTTTTTAGAAAAGTCCTGCATAGTATTTCTTTAACTGTTTCTTGATATTTTAGTAGATTGTTTCTAAAATTTCAAAGGAAAGTAGAAGCTTATCACACTCCCACTTTCACTCTAGTTTTCTGCAGTCCTTCCTTTGGGCTCTGGAGGTGTCATTAAGCCAAGGCAAACCTTCAGGCTACAGCTTTTTCAATTTAAGGGGAGCAACAGTATTCAGAATAGAAGTGCAAGTGGTGCTAAATAAGGAGGCAAGTTTCTCCAACAGTGCAGATTTTGGGAGCAGCTATTAAGTCTCAGAGAACTACCTGGCAGTTGAAGAGTTAATGAGTTGAGTGTTAGTTGTAGCTAGAGCAATGCACAGAGAGAAGAGTTTTAGCAAGAGAGAAAAACAGAGATGCATCAAATGTAACAGCTCTATGATCAAACAAGCAGACAAGCATTCATTATTTGCAGATTGCAGATCGTCTAAGTATTGTCCTCTCTGAGGAGCAAAGGTGGAAGTAGCATAACATTGTCAGACTATTACAAAAATCATTTAATGAGACGTTCATGCAGGCTCAAGGGTGGATCAACAAAGCTTATGACTTTGACTCAAGAAACAGTTTTGCATCCTGTCAGCAACTAACAGTCCTTTTTTTAAAACAATAACTGCAATGTTTCTATAACCATAACCAAATAGTTTCAGCCATGCTAACATTGTGGCTCCTGGGATACCCGTGTTGATCAGCTGGAAAAAAGTAGTAACTTTGTTCCATACTGATATACTGTTACAACTACTGCACTGTTTGCCTTGTAATTTCGTACAAACATTTATGGTCCCCAGGGGATGACTTTCCTGATTGACTGACTTTTCATCTAGCGCCACCAGCAGGTGAGAATGACTGAGCTAAGATGTCTGGGACTTCCAGATCCAGACTGACAAACTGGTGATGGCAAACCAACTGAATGGGTTTTGGAAAGACAGGAAGAAATAAAGAGAGAATACAAAAGTAGGTAGTAGGTGGTTTAACAACTGTGGAGTTTGGCACAACATGTGCACATACTCAAACACACTGCCTAATTTGTTTCAGTACAACTGTTGCCAATTCTAGTATCTACTGGAGGGAGTTAAACAACTCACAAGAACAAAACACTCCCAATGTTAAACCCTATCACACATCATTCACACACGCCGACCCAGAAAACACATCATTCACACACCCTAACCCAGAAAACACACATTCCTACATGTACACCATACACATCCCCGCACAAACAGACACAGTGCATTATGCATGTATGTAAACACAAACTGACAAAAATACACACTGTGCGCACATACAGTAAGCGAGGTATTTCCACATATCGACAAGACATATTGTATGAAATATTGAAAATGCATTCAAGAATAATAAGACAAGGTATAGTAGTCAAATTTATTTGGGTTCCAGCACATATGGGCATTGTGGGTAATGAGAAAGTTGATTTTATAGCCAAGCAAGCAGTTAAAAAAGAAAATATATTCATCATGATCAAGTTATCAAAACTGGAAGGACAGAGTATAGTATGGAAGAAAACTAATGAAAAATGGCAGCAGCACTGGGAGCAGGAGGTGAGAGGGAGACATCTATATGCACTACAGAAGAGAGTGGGCGCTGGTAGAAGCAGGGGAGGAAACAGGAGAGAGGAGACAGTGATGACAAGACAGAATTGGACATAGTAACTTGAATGGGACACTTCACATTATAGGAAAACATGTAAATGGATTATGTGACTATTGTCAGACACCAGAAACAGTGGAACATGTGATTACTAACTGCAACAAATACAGAGAGGAATGGAAGGAAATGCTGGAGATGAGGAGAGAAGAACTCACAGGATCTAGCTTAAAGGACATACTGGCGTGTGGTGAGACTGGGAAAGGCAGAAAGTATCTGATATGCTTTCTAAAAAGAACTGGACTGATATGGAGAATATGAGGCACTGGATAATATAGGAGTCAAATAACTCCAGAAGATGGCGGTAATGCAGCGCTAAGGATGCAAGCTGCCGTTAAACCGCAGAGAAGAAGATGGAGAAGAAGCTCTTCCCTCCTTTCACCTTTCCACCACCAGCAAAGCCAGTACTTAGGCCCAATCCCAAACCGGCCCCTATCCCCTCACCCTATTCACTGGCCCAATTCCAATCCGGCCCCTAAAGACTCAAGCCCTGAACCCTCACTGACTTAACTGATGTCAGCTGTAAGTGATTGAGTGTGAGAGTCTGAAAGGGCTCCGGATGCTACAAATAGAAATGGGACAGCACTTATCCCCCTCTCTACAAAATGTTGTTAACATTGGCGGCTCTGGGCATGATCATTTATCCGTTATTGTCAGCATATATTCCACACACAAAGAATATATATCTATATATATCTATATATATAGGCATATATAGATATATATTCTTTGTGTGTGGAATATAACCACTGGTATTCCTCTGAATTCATGTGTGTTTATGTACCATCTTAAATCCTTGTTAATGTAATGTTTCATTGTTTATCTATCTGTTTTTTCGCTCTCCTTCCATAACGTTACCGTTTGCATATCTGCTGACCGTGTTTTCGGGTTTTTTTATAACACTTCCGGTGTTCCGAGGGCAACCCCTGTATTTGATGTCACAATGCTATGAACTGTGGGTAATTTCCTTACCGTAAGTCCGCATCGATGCTGACCTACGGTAAGGGGGCATAAAGGGCTCATCACTGACTCTCTGACTTGACGATTTGACAATGGGACAGCCCTCACACACTCACGCACTTC